TATACGCAGTTTCCATTATCTATCTTTGTCTTGTATGTGCTTGAATTCTTACTTATACATTTTTAGTTGACTGATGTTGCCTTCCTGATTTGCGCATCTGACACTTGTTTCTTTATTTTGTCTTTTTTTTTTCTTGTGTGTTATAAATGTTGTACCCACCCCCTCTGTAATGCCCTACGGGCCCTGAGGGTATTCTAATAAATAAATAAATAAATAAATAAATTGTGTCTTGGCGACGATTCCATCTTTTTTTCGCGGTATAAATCCGATCGTAGCGATATGCGCATGCGTACTTGTTTTGAACCTATTGCATAAGAATAAAAATTAGCACTCGCCATTGAAAACATCATGTTCAATGAAAGCACCACTGACAGATGCGGGTGACGGAGAAAAGGAGCCGCAAAGAAGACAGCGAGAAGCAAGGCATCAAGAATGATTAGTGTCGCTAGCTTAATTGTGTAATATATAGACCTTAGCTTAACGTTACCCATAGCTCACCAACCTCCTGCCCCAGCTTGACATCATGGCGGTGAATGCTCTCATTGGCGCTGGCTCAAAGTACCCCTTCTTTCTTCTTCGCTTCATGATTAATGCTCTATACTTCAGTATCGATGTACTGATTTTATTTACTGTGTACGCAGGTACATATGCTTCTCAAAATCTGACACCAAATCCCCTTTCAGGACGCCTGTATAAGATATTGCAAAGGTATTCTGTAAAATGGACTTGTTATGTAGTCTTCTGTTCAACCTCCCCCACCTCTCTCACTTATTTTTGACTGCCTTGTCCTTTTGAAGACTAAACTTTGTCACTGCGGCTAGACAGCTTAAGTTAGTTTCAGGCCACTGACATTGGGATTAAATGCGAAGGATACAACAGCATTACTGCGACCCAAATTTTATAAAAAAAAGTCTGTTCTGTAAATAAAGACGATGACGTCTTGTTCTCAGACGCCAACGCCTCTCACAACAACGAAGCCTTCCTCTTATTCGCGGTATTATCCGCGTCCACGGATAATACCGTAGTTTCTGGCACAATCTTCACCTGAAACCCCGAAGTAGCGGAGCAGGTAGCAATAGATATATTGCACCTGTTCCGCTACTTCCGCAGGCGCTGACCCTACGCATATATCAAGCCCACACGTACCCAAACCTTGCCAAGCTTCACTTTTTCTATGCCGATACGTACTCCAGCGGCATGTGCCCCTCATGTGGACAAACGGCTACACTAGAAGACATATGCTCTGGAAATGGAGAAACGCTCTTTCTGGCTATATCTCAAACAAGAGGTCTCTGAGAAGCTCACTTTTCGTCCACCACCGTTGGGTCATCCAGCAGGCCCACGAAGCGGCCACCAGGTACTACTCACCGTCGGTCCCTACGTTGAAGACGCTCGCCACGCTCTAAGGGCGTCTCTCTGAATAAAGTTTTTCCATTCCATTTCATGTTCAGCAACTCTGGATTGCTCCAGCGCGGTGTCGCTCAAAATCTTAATGTAGATTGAGATGTTAAGCCGCAACAATTAATAATAATAATAATAATAATAATAATAATAATAATAATAATAATAATAATAATATAATAATAATAATAATAATAATAATAATAATATAATAATAATAATAATAATAATAATATATTATTATTATTATTATTATTATTATTATTATTATTATTATTATTATTATTATATTATTATTATGTACGGCACAGTGAAACTGAAACCAATGCTACCGGATACATTGAAGGATATAATACCATACATCAGTGACGAGGCCCGATGGTTCCTTTCTTGTGAATAGCTTTACACATAGTTTGGCACCTTTGTTTCGTAAGAAAATGAGCCTTACAGCTTACCCGACACCTGAAAGTTTCAAGTTTTGATCAAGTTGCAGTGTCTGCTAAAAGCTGATTACGATAATGCTGCTGCTATTCAGTTTTGAGTGATTAGTACTTCGTGAAAGTGTTAATAACCGGTCTTCACATTTCGTAACATTACTTATTCTAATTCAGCAGAAATATTGATGTCGTGTGCTTTTTTCTGCATATTATATTTTACCTACGCCAGCATTAAATGTGCACGAAGCCATTTATTGTTGATTTTCAGAGCCTCTGTGGACAAAATGTGCTTCTATAGTGTTTTGAGCTACACAGAACAAATATAATGTAATCAGGGAATGAAACAGAAATAAAAGCGTACCCATATACCGCACTGTATGAGTATTGAAAAAGTGCAGCAGCCCAGTTCAGCGACACTTATGATTTCTACATCCTTAATTTTTTTTCCTCATATGTGACAAAATGTGAAAGAAACACGAGCAAATATTGTTACAAACAGACTTAAGGTACGTTTAGGAGGGAACAATAAGTGCTATTATTCTGGCAATGAATGATTGAACGTTCCTTTTTCCGCCTTTTGGAAGTACCTGACTTACTGTATAACCTTTATTCACATATTCATTTTGAAAACAGCGCAATTGTAAAACGTAAAAAAATCGCGTTTGATCAGCCTTGACCTTGGCAACTCTATTTTCATGCTGCGGTGCCGAAAATTCACGGATGGAATTATTTTATTATTTGGTTGTTCATTAAACATTGTGCAAATAAAATCTTTTTGTTCGTCAATCTGTAATATGAAAAAACTTACTATTATTTTTGTCACAAAAAACTACAAATGAAAATCCACAAATATATTGCCGAATCACATTTATTTAACAGTACAGGTCACACCATTTATTCACCAAATACATATTATATTTAGGAAGTATTTTTGAAAGCTTTCATTTGTCACACGCCTGCTTTTAATTTAAGACGGCGATTCTCTTCACGTATGCGTTGTTTAAACACTATTTACAGATGCCGTGCTGCGAAAGAAATCAGGGATTGCTTTGAACATGAAAACTTCACATTTAACTAAACTCGTCGAGAATTTTTCTTAGAAACGAAGCGAAAGCTACGGGGATGTAGCTTTTTCTCATGTACTCCAACGCGATGTGGTTAGTTTTGGAGACCGTTTAGCACCACTGTGGTAATGCTTAGCTGCATCAAATGAATCTTTCATATAAATGCTTATGCCGCTTAACGTTTAAGGTACACGTAAACAGAACAAAATACTCAAACGTGCCAAAACACAGAGACACATCTTGCAAAGCAAAACAGAAAAAAAACTCTCACTGTTGTAAAATACTTTTTGTCCCACAATTGTTACACGTAGACTATAAAGGAGTGGTTTATATAAAACAGAAAATGCGTACACTATCGAGGGACGTGGATCTGGTAGCGGAAGCAAACGCGATATTTTGGTTCTGCAGCCATCATTTGTTTCCGAAAAGAAGTTATCCGCAAGTACTGTGTATAATAGCGCACAGTAAGACGCATTGCTGAATATTACCTTTCGTGTTGCAAAAATTAATTTCTTTGCAGGGAGAGGGAGAAAAACAATGATTACGCATGATCTTCACCCTAGGGTGGAGACGTTAGTCCAGAGAGGGGCACGGTCTCTAAAAGTCACCCACGGGGGTGGGGGGGGCGTAGGTAAAGTTGAACTAGCTGTAATCTTTAGGTTGACTCTGCATCTATGAATCATTTCTCCATCAGAACGCCGCCATTTGGTCACCCTGACTCTCACGGGGATGACTACAGTCGGTTTGGTGGAGAACCATTCTAGTGACGTGGAAGCGTTAAAGAGCTTGTTTCGAAGAAACTTTGGCGTTGAAATCAGTTACACTGGCCGAGACAAAAAAAGAACTCATGTTCATGACCAAAAGAAAAATCGAGACAGATTAAATAGTACAAACAATAAAAATTGCCAGGTACGAGTGAATATCAACCCCTAGCCAATCACTAAGTTTCCGGAAATTAATTTGAAAAAAATGCTCATAGTTGTCATGAAATGAAGTAACTCTCTCTAAATTTTTAAGATTTTTGAAGCGGTATTACAACGGGTGCAAAAAAGAACAAACAGTCGTCGCACAATGCGAATAGCGTAATGAGTGGGCCGTCCAATTGGGAAGTTTTTTCTTGTATCCTTACTGGTATGGTGCATACCCATTTCAACCATAATTCCTCATCATCATCAGCCACTGCACGAACGATTGCTCATAATTCCTTGCAAGTTGTCGTGTAGCCGGCATGGCGACACGTGAAAGTAACCAAGCTACACCACTGTACGATCCATAACAATAACCCAGTTTAATCATCGAGTATCGTTTATATACGCACGAGCGCAGTGGCGCCATCTATTGTGAGTCAAATGACTCAGAAGGCCATCTGGTGTAAACGCACAACACTACATCTACCCCCTTCCTTGATAATAAAACACAGATTATGTGCATAGAAAAGAAACAGTCACTACCCGTGACAGAAAACTATAGTAAGTCTCCACCGTAAACAAGTCACTGCACATAGTCCCCGAGTCTCACTGGTGGTCTTCGCTCCCGTGTAGAGCGACGGAGGGGCACCGGCTTCTCTTCTGTCTGATGGACGACCTCTGGTTCGTCGCCACGATCAGCACCCAGTTCTGCGGTCGTGTTCCCCGTTGGTGGAGGCCGTGGTGGGCTTGGCGTATGAGGAGGCAGTGCTGACCCCCCCGGAGACTGTGCAGCTTCCTGTAATGGGATATTTTGGGTCATATGGCTCTGTGCCTTCGAGGACGGTTTTCGTGCTGTGGCGTTTCCTGCCGACCCGTCTGTCTCCATGTCCGCCCACAGCGGTTCTTGTCTTGCCCCCGTTTCTTCGTGAACAGCTTCATGGGGTACAGCCGACAGTTGGGAGGCATTCCAGGTACGGCCGTCCTCCAAGTGGAATGACCTTCGTCCTACCCGCCTCCGTATTTTGAGTGGAGCCCCAAAACTAGGGGTGCCTTTTATTCCAGCTACCGGGCGTTTCACCCGCACGTAGGCCCCCACTTTAAATTTGGGCTCCCGGGCTGCTCTTCGCTTGTCTGCATACGCCTTATTTCTTTGTTGGTATTCGCAGACACGACGCCGAAGTCTACGCAGTTCACGGGCAGTATGGGTGCCGAAATCCACTGATGGCTGGCCAACAACATTTAATGATGTCCTCATGTGGCGGCCATGAAGAAAACACTGCTGGAGAGATGCCATTGGCGCTGTAGGGTGTGGCTCGGTAAATACCCAGGTACTTTATAACTGTGGTCTTGATTGGTCGCTGCTCTAGGAGAGCTGGTTGTATATACGATTTCAAGGCCCTGTTGAATCTTTCCACTAAGCCATTGGCTTGAGGGTGGTAAACTGTCGAGAAGAAATGCTTGATGCCCCTGTCTGCAAGGAAGCACTCGAATTCACTCGACGTAAACTGTCGGCCATGATCTGAGACTAGTTCAGTCGGGTAACCCTCTCGCGCAAAGACAGCGAGCAGAAAGTTGATCACCTTGCGAGAAGTGATGTCACTGCAGAACGCAATCTCTGGCCATCTGGAGAAGTAGTCCACTACCACGATGACAAATCGACAGTCGGCCGGTGCACGTTCAAAAGGGCCCATGATGTCTATTGATATTTTGTCCCAAGGCCTGTCAGGAAGCGGGACAGGCTGTATTGGGGCTTGCCAGTTCTTGACACTCTTGTCCGAGGCTTGACAGGCGCTGCAACTCCGGATGGCGGCCTCCACATGCTTGTCAAGACAAGGCCACCAGTACTTCTCCCTGATGCGCTACTTAGTCTTCACAATTCCCGGGTGTGACTCATGAGCTAACTGGATGAATGAATCCCTTAGCTTGGCAGGCACTAAAACGCGTTCTGTGCGCAGAACAAACCCATCTACTACCGAGAGCTCGTCTCGTATTTCGTAATACGGAGTCAGTTCTGCGGCAAGTCTTTTCCTTGTTGGCCATGATGACTGGATAAATTGCATTACCTGCCATAGTATGTCATTCTCCGCGGTAGCAACCTGAAGATTCTCCCGATGTACAGACGATGTAACCAAGGACACAACCTCTACATCAACATGGAAGCCCCCTTCTGTGTCTGGCACGGGCAGTCTGGACAAGGCATCTGCTACCTGGTTGTGGGCTCCGCTGCGGTACTGTATTTTGAAGTTGTAGCGCAGCAGTCGTGCGGTCCACCTTGCAATACGAAGTGGCCGCTGTCCTGTGCTACGGGATGAGAGCAGTGCCACCAAAGCCTGGTGATCCGTCAGTAGAGTAAATGATCTGCCCCAGAGGTAAACGTGCCACTTCTCGCAGGCCCACAGACAGGCAAGGGCCTCACGCTCTCCGGCCGAGTATTTTCGTTCTGTTTCTGTTAATGTCCGCGATGCAAATGCCACAGTATGCACATGGGACCCCTCCACTTGCTGCAGTACGGCACCGAGACCGTACGCAGAGGCATCTGTTGCGACAATGACAGGTAGCGTCGAGTCAAACATTCGGAAGACCTTGTGGGATGCTAGAAGTCTTCTTACTCCCGCGAAGCTCTCTTTCGCAGCGTCATCCCAGTCGAAGTGCACGTCTTTGCGAAGTAGACAACGCATTGGCTCTACTTGCTCTGCCAGTCGCGGCACGTATTTGTAATAGTATTCAACTAGCCCCAAAAAGGAGCGTAGCGTGGCTGCATCTCTAGGCGCAGGAGCATTGATGATTGCATCAATCTTGGTCTAGAGCGGTGCTATACCTTCTGCGCTGACGCGATGTCCTAAGAACGATGACGTGTTGATGACGCATTTTTCGTTGAGCTTGAGCCCAGCTTCTGCTATTCGTTTCAGCAGTTGCTCCAGGTTTTGCCTGCGTTCGCTCTCCGTCTTGCCGGAAATAATTATGTCATCTAAGTATCATAAGACCTCTTTGCAACCTCCAAGAGTTTTCGTCATGACCTGCTTAAACGCAGCTGGTGCCGATACCAGCCCGAAGCAGACCCTCTTGAATCTAAAGAGGCCATCGTGAGTTATAAATGAAGTTAGGTCCCTGCTGTCTGGGTGCAGCACAACCTGGTAGTAGGCTGATGCCAGGTCCACCTTGGAAAAGCAGCGGGCTCCATTGAGGGCATGAAGCAGCTACTCCATATGTGGCAAAAGGAAGTTGTCTGCTACTATAGCTTTGTTGGGTTGCCGGAGATCAACACACAGTCGAATGCTACCATCTGTTTTGCGGGCTGCTACAATAGGAGATACCCACTCGGAAGCATTGACTCTCTCAATGACATCAGCAGCAAGTAGCTTCTCAATCTCGTCAAAGACCAGCTGGCGGACTGAAAATGGTAGGGGTCTCAGCTTCTGTGCGACTGGCGCGATGGAAGTTTTCATCTTAACTTTATGTTGCACACCTCTTACAAATCCCAGGCCAGGCAAAAACAAGTGGCCAAACGTGGTCCACAGTGTTGGCGGCATTCCAAACTTGGGAGGGCCAAGGGGTTTTTCATGCCTGGGCTTTGGGGAAGGCCTTAACTCATTGCTGGAAGCTCTCGGCATTCCTGCGTGGACATTTTTAGGCAGCGCAATTCCTCTCCCATGATGCAAAGGCCATGGGCTTGAACCGCATCCAGGCCAAGGAGAGATGTACCACATGGCGTAACATGAAAAGTTACAATGGCTTCTTTCCCCTTGTATGTGACTATGGCGTGAAATGACCCGAGAACGGGAATCTTCCTGCGCGAAAAATCCAGCAATGTAAGATGGGAACAGTTGTACTGCGTTTGCGAACAAGCCTTGGAATTGGTGCTTACCCATAATAGACACGGCCGAGCCTGTGTCCACCAAAAGGTTATTGGTATGCACCCGTGTCGTCGCGGCAACTGACGTGACATTGACATCCACGTAGACGCCTGTGCTCTTATCACGACGGACCGCCAAGATGCTGATGGCACTGGTAGCATCCTCTTCCGGAACGATTTCCTGGACCTCTGCAGAATACCCTTCTCGGCCGCGACGGTAGCTGCGACAGGCTCTCTTAAAATGGCCACGGCGTCCGCAGGCAAAACATGTGCGACCGCACGCGGGACACTCCGTAGGCGAACACCGTGCTGCGCCGCAGTTTCCGCAGGCATTTACATTTCTAGGCCCGGGGACAGCAGTGGCGGCGGCATTCATATCAGGTGAAGGTGGGCTGTACGCGCGTGAGCAGCTGAAGTGGCGACGGCCCGGGAGGCGTGTGCCATTATCGCCGTTATCTTGTCGATCGTGCCTGGCTGAGCTGTCTCGCAACTGCTGCTGAATGCGCTGCACAGAATAGGCGAAGGCTTCGGATTCCCGCTGGATTTGCTCACGAAGCCGTGCTACCTCGACAGCATGATCGAACGTAAGGTTATCGCCCTCCAGCAGCAATCGCTCTCGTAGCCGCGGGCACGTGACGCCTGCTACGAACTGTTCACGCAGGTTTTCGTCCGCTTGAGTGGCGAAATTGCAAAGAGCTGCTAACTCCCGAAGCGCTACGGCGAAATCGGTGATGGGCTCACCCTGCAGTTGACGACGCTCCCGGAATCGATGGCGTTGAAGGCGGACGTTGCAAGGGGCGGCGAAATGCTTCGAAAGCATCTCAATGGCTACGTCGTACTCGTCGGGAGGGCGTAGGGCTTCCGTGTTCATGTCTTGCGTTCCAGTAGGTGCAGTGGTTCCGATGTTTCCAGCAGTGGAATCTGGCATGGCCGTGACACCGGGTGCAGCACTCGTTGTCTCTGCCTTGATTTGCGTCGTACTAGATGGAAGCGCGTCGAAAATACGCTGTCCTTCCGTCCCAAGACAGTGCAGCAGGAGGGCTCGGCGACGGGGTGCGGGTAGCTCGTTCGCTCCGGACGCCAGCAGAAACCTTTCGAACAGTCGTAACCAGCGGGCCCATGGCACATCGGGCCCGCGGGGGGTGGCCAGAAAAGAAGGAGGTGGCAAAATGCCCGTGGAAGCCATCCTCGTCGCCAGAATGTCGTGTAGCCGGCACGGCGACACGTGAAAGTAACCACGCTACACCACTGTACGATCCATGACAATAACCCAGTTTAATCAGCGAGTACCGTTTATATGCACACGAGCGCAATGGCGCCATCTATTGTGAGTCCAATGACTCAGAAGGCCATCTGGTGTAAACGCACAACACTACACAAGTGTTTAGCGGATACCACGCTTCTCAGAATAATGACGGAAAATAGCTTAGCGAACGCCAGCCTACTACCCAAAAATTTATTATTATTGCCCTAGAGGGTATCAGGCAAGTGTGCTTGCAGTATAATTACGCAATTACTGTTTGTAAAGGCTCTGAAAGACCGCTCTTCTAGCTTTCGCTGTGACTGACTGCGCTTCGCCTTCGGCACATGCCTGGCTTTTCTTTAAGTGGGGGGGACGCTTACAATTCACTCATCAAAGCGGTTGGCACTTCGTGTTTTGCTGTAGTTGTGTGAGGATTTGTGTGTGTTCATGTGCTTTTAAATGCGAAGCATTTCTTAGCGAATCTCTGCTAAGTTGAGCATATCTATCTATCTATCTATCTATCTATCTATCTATCTATCTATCTATCTATCTATCTATCTATCTATCTATCTATCTATCTATCTATCTATCTATCTATCTATCTATCCTGCTATCTATCTATCCTGCTATCTATCTATCTATCTATCTATCTATCTATCTATCAATCTATCTATCTATCTATCAATCTATCTAGCCACCTATTACTTTTAGCTCTCCCGACCATTTCAATAATGGTATCAATTCCAAACTTCGTATGGCATAACATGGCTGCATATAGAACATATTTGAGTAGTCACAACATCTAAATCATGAAACTTATGTCATGAATATCATGATTTACACTTCGTGGTCCTGCAGCTCTTGTGGTGGTTTCGTTTACAAGGCATGTTAAAAGTGGTATGGTATGACATGATTGCATAGCGAACACAAGCGACAGACCCTAACACAAAAATCATGACATGCGTGTCATGTAAACACAAGATTACATACCACGCTCCTGATGCACTTGCGGCCGTTTGGCTAGAGTCACGTATACCAAATTTGGCATCACGGTATGTGAATGGTTGATGATGGTATGATACCGGTGTACACATGGCAAACCTAATATGCATGTCATGTAACAACATGACTACATGCTACGCTAATGATGCGCTCGCAGCCGTTTCGCCAGCTTCACATGTAACAAACTCGATATTAAGCAATGCGAATGGACGACATAGGTAAATAAAACATCCAAACATGATAATCATGACGTGTGTGTCATTTAACAACATGACTACATGCCACTCCCATGATGGGCTCGCGGCGGTTTCGCTAGCTTCACATATGCCAAATCTGGTAATAGGTGACTTATATGGAATGCGAAGGTATGTGACTCGTGCGAACATAATCATCGTGATATTCATGTCTTGTGATAACATGACTACAAGCGAGGGTCAAGCGCTGATTATCCCTAATTATCCTATTACGTTGCTTCTATTTGTCGGCTACTACATAGATTTCGAATGACGAGGGCTAGTCTGAGTGCTGGCAGTCCTTCAGAATGATGTATGAGGTTTCTGTGGCTTTAAGAAACGATAAAGAAATCGTATACC